TCGGTTGTACAGTGACTGCGCTATATTTTCCTGATTGATTGTTAAGTTATGCTGGCTTTCCCGAGCTGCCTCCGTTATCCTGAAGGGAAGGCTTTTCACTTGGTGTGCTCCCTGCCTTTGGAATGCCTCTCCTGGCAAGGACAGGCATCCTGCTTTGACTGTGATTCTTAAGTTACAATTCAAAGCTAATTTGTTTAGTTAGGTTTCTTCTATGAGCAGCTCTGTTTCTCACTGTTAAGTGCTCCACGGTGCTGCTTAGTCGGAGGGCGTGCTGTAAGTACAAGATGTAATACACTTACATTGTACTTGATTATCAGTTTTCAAAAACAGCTGCATGCTTTGATATCTGAGTAAGGAAATATCAGAAGATAATATACCACTGGTATTTATTACTCTATAATTAAGGATGTGTCAGTGTTTTCCTTTAAATAACTCTATTTTCAGAAATTCATATCTCAAGCATAAATTTCCCTATGAATTACAGTCTAATACCATATCAGAAGTATCTTCTTTTAAAGCCATCCCTCCCCTTCCTTTTCTTCCTGGGGAAATAAGTCTCAGGATGTAATTTCTGGGTTATGTACGAGGGATGAGAGGAAGCAGGCCCAGCACTGCACAGTGAAAGGTACGGCTGCGGGCGCCACCTGCTCCTCCTGCTCCGCGGCCCGTAGCGCCAGGTGACACCACCGGGCTGTCTTTTGCAGCCTCGTACGTGGATGAGCAACTTCACCACCGTACGATTTTGAAGGCAGCACAGAGTCAGTCGTTCAGCAATAGCACAGGTGCCAGAGCTGGAAATTCCAGTAGCAGAAATCACTTCTGTCACATCGCTCTCCTTACGGTCATCTACAGTACAAACAGGGCCAGGTGAAACATGAAATAAACTGATGGAACAGGCAGAAGGAGGAAAGAGGGGAAATGATGGAAACAAATGATTTCCTTTCCTTCTTCTTTAAGGGCTGCTCCTCACCAGTGGAACTGACTACCACGTACAGAAAAGAGCCTTGAAAATTTCGCCTTTCAGACCTGTCTCCGTGACAGGACCCGATGGGAGTCAGCTTCACCTTATGCCCTCACTGTCCCTGTATCTGAAATGCAGAAGTCACAAAAATGAATACTTACCGGGAAGGCCAGAGGAGTTAGCAAAGAATGTGAGTCCAACATAGTGTGAGACCGCAGGAAGCGGTGGGCCTGGGACACGGGAGGCAGAGACTGAAGGCCTCCTTGAAGGTGGAGTACTAGTTATGCTGAAAACATGTTAAATACTGGCCACACTGCCTGCTCTTTCAGGTCCCTTTCAATACTAACAATGTGGGCTAGAGTGTCTGCTGCCTTTTGCCATCTTTGGGCTGGAGGGAAGAGAAGAACAACAGAATGAGAGGTCCACGGGAATCATGTACATTGCACTTGGGCTTCCTGAAAGGCACTTAGGTGACAGCGACAACACCCTACCCAGGAAAGGCTCGTACAAAAAGCTTTCTGTTTTTCTACTATGCTCTGGCTTCTAAATATGCCACTATACCATGTCTTAATTTTCTTATTGGTGAATGGCATCAAAACATTTAAATTTGCATATGCAAAGGACTTTACGTTCCCAGACAAAGGATACACCAGTACCTATTCCTAGCAGGAGTCACATCTTCCAGTGCAGACCTTAACTTACTCTTTGAACACAGTAACGGATAGAAGGAATACATTTCAGATTACCTCCCAAGAATCCTTAAGTCAGTTAGAAACCTCTGCTAGATTTGAAAATCATGACCACAGGGCTGTGGGAAAGAATAAGGAACCACTCAGGTGATGACAGATCATAAAACAGATCCCTGAAGACACTGATCCCAAATTCCCATTGAGGAAGACGGGAAGGTGAGGGAGGACCCGGGCCCCTGAAGCTGTATGTGCCTCGAAGAGCATCTCACAGGTCCTGGGGAAGGCTCCCTTCCCAGAGGAGAAAGGCAAGACAGGATAGTTCCCTCTGTGTCCTGAGGGAAGGGACAGTGACACGGTGTGAAAGGGGCAGGGTGGTAGGAGCTGAAAGCTCTTGTATTTGACCACTCAGCTCTGAATTTTTCAAGATAAAAACTGGGCTCGGGGCTGGGGTTTAGCTCAGTGGCAAAGCACCTGCCTGGCAAGTGCAAGGTTGTGAGTTCGATTCCCAATACCAGGAAAGAAAAAAAAAGAAAAACTGGGCTCATTTGACATTCGCCTTTATCCTGCTCTCAGGACCCTTCACAGGGGAATTAATGGAGCTATAGTGTTCTGTCTTGCATTTGTAATGCCACAGGCATTAGCAGTGGTGATAAAGAATCCACCCAAAAGGAGCCTACAGACACTCAAGTCTGACACTCTCCCAAGTATGGCGTCTGCATTGAGGTGAAGTCCTTGGACCTTGTCATATGGGAGAAGTATTGTCAGTGAGAGTGGCTTCTGTCACTGTCAGAAGAAAATGGCTTTTGGACTTGATTGATAGTTCAGGAAGCCAACAAACATTGAGGATGAGCAGGTAACAAAAGTACCCATACGTTTCAAAGTATTTATAACTCCTCAGGAAAAGGTCTGTGCCATAGTAACAAGACAAGATAAAACACTTATTATACGGTGAATATGTCTCCCTCCTGACAACCTGCTTCTTCCACCATCACTCCTCTGAAATATTCATTATTTAAAATTTAGTGTGAATTCCTATCTTTTGTTTATTATTCTTTATTTTTTGGATTCTTTTTTTTTTTTTTTGAGATAGGGTCATAGTTTGTAGTGTAGACTGGCCTTGAGCTCACTATGTACCCCAGACTAGCTCAAATTTGTGGGGTTATTCTCCTGCTTCAGCCTCCCAAGTGCTAGGACTACAGGTGTATACCACCACACCTAGCTATGTTTATAATACTTTAATAACCTATATGCATATCTTTGAGGAGCAGGTAGAATCCCTTGCATGTTTTAAAGCTTTCCCAGTTACCTTTCACTGAGTAATTTTTGAAGTGAGGATGTACTGTAGAAACACTGGTTATCTCATATCTCAATTCAGGCTTTGAAATAAAACAGGTTTATGACAATGGCTTATAATAGACTCTCTTCATTGTTAAATATAAGATCTGATAATAAATATTGCCCATTTTCCCAGTAAAACAGAAAAGCAGTTAGCCAATGCTTGTCAGCAGTCTGTTGAATAAGAATTGCAGAATTATGTACATGTTAAAGGACAGTATGGCTGCCATAGTGGCACATGATTGTAATTGCAGCACTCAAGAGGCTAAGGCAGGAGGAGGATAGAAAGTTTGAGGCCTTCCTTTGCAGTACTATATAGTGAGCTCCAGGCTGGCTTGGAATGTATAACTAGGTCCTACCTCAAAATGAAGGAAAAAACCCTGAACAAACAGAAATACAAACAAACAGTGCAAACAAATATGACAGCATGGACCACCATTTGAACGCTGATTCCATCACCCATGGAAACTATCTGAGACTTACATGAAATTTCTTTTGTATCTCATAATATTTCTGGGTAGCAGATGCTTTCTCAAAAACAGATTTTACTTTTAAAAATACCAAACATAATTAACACCTTCAACATAAAATGAAATTTTTGCCTACAGATGCATTTCAAGGTGTTGAAATTAATCTATGCAGCCCTCGATGGCTAAGGGTTCCTACTGACTTACAGATTCTACTACCATATTTCTGTGGCATAACTGAAAATAAGAGCAGGACATTTACATTTAATTGCATTTGAAGGATGTGTATTCAACCAGGAACATTTTGAAAAGGGTCTTGATGTTTTCCTAATCAACATAGCAAAAGGTTAAGAACATGGCAAAAATAAATAGATTTAGGACAAACACCCTAGACATTACATCAAAGTCTTAATAACAGCCAGACTCTTATAGCTACAGTGGGACCTTGGTTCACGAACTTAATTCTTCCCATGATCCTGGTTGCAAACCGAATTGCATGAGAACTGAATCAAATTTCCCCATAAGGTCAACATTGAACCTAACCACTGAATTTGATTTGGTTCTTGTCCAATTTGGTTTGCAGCCAGAATTGTGGAAAGAATTAAGTTCAAGAAATGAGGTACCACTGTATCCAAAATTAAATTTGTTTAATGATTTTTTTTCTTTTATACTATAGAGGAGAAAAAATGATTGAGCTCACAATTTCAGAGGCTGACAGGCCATGAGCAGGCAGCCTCATCTGTTCGGCTTCTGGTGAGGTCCTACTTGGTCGGGTCACAATATGGCAGAGAAACAGGAAGTAGAAGTGGCAGCATGCAAGACAGGCCTTACTTTGTGACAATCTGCTCTAGTGAGAGCTAACTCACTTTGAAAGGTCAGCATTAATCTCTCTCAAGGTGATGGCTTAATTACTAAGCCCATACACCTTTTATATCAACACACTGGGGACCAAGCTCTCGGCATGGGAACCCCTGGGGACACACTCACACCACGTAAAAACATAGGATACCTGAAAAGGGCTTCAAGGTGGAAGTATTATTTTCCAAAACACATCATTATGGATACCTTTCTGTCTTCATATTGTACTTTCAGTACTATCTCTTTTCTCTACTGCCTTTCATTCTACTAATGATTTTTGAAAAGAACAAAAGCAATAGAACTGTGTGTTTAAAAAGACAACAATTTTCAAAAAACAGGAAATAAGGGGAGTGTTTGATTTCTCATGACTCAAGGGAAATAGAAATTAGTGAGCTGTACTCCCAGTTACCCACTGATTTCAGCAATATATTGGTTAATTTACTAACATTTCTTTCCACCATGTCATGGGTATTGAGAGGTCTACGCACACGTACGCACAAAGGATATAGTTATATCTTTTCCAGTGTTTAGAATTATATGTTTACAAAGCTTTCTATTGCTTTGATCCACTAATTCCAAATTTGTCGGCATAAACAACTTTTATGTAAGTTTTTACCTGGAAGCGGTGATGGACACAGCTAAAAACAAAAACTGATTTGAATATGGGTATAAGAAAAAACTCATACAAAGGGAGCTTTCAATATTTTATTTGCCAAAATCAGAAAAATATTTAAATGTTTTGGATGTAGCCTCTGAAAGATAGTTAATGTTTTCTCTTTTTTTTTGCCTATCAGTTAGTGAGGAAACATATGGATAGTTGTTGTTCATATAAGATCTTATCTAGCATAAAATGTGAGCCCACTATTTTCAGGATAGAAAAACATAGTAAAACTTTAATACCATTTCTTGGCTGTGAGATTTACATTATCTTGAGAAGATATCTTCTATAGTACAGCACATTTCTGATTGGTTCATTTTACTAGAGGGCATAAAGTATAACCTTGCCCCAAGGGAGTGTCAGTGAGCATTCTATCCACACTCATATCTTCAGCTCTGCTCTCAAATGGTGCACCCTCCCCCACAACCCCCCGTAGATCCCAAGCTCCAGAGATTTGAGCAGGAAGTGACTTCTGAACTAGTTCCCAAGCCCTTTGTTGTATGAGTAAGAAAATAATTTGTTCAATGATTTCTCAGTAAGCAAAGACTGTAAGGCCCATCGTAGACGATGGAGCTCCTCTTGGATGGGGAGAAGAGCAATAGCATTGTTTGTTTTTGCTTCTTTCTTTTTCCTGTTTTAAAATTCCCAGGCCTCATGAATTCTACACTCCTACTTGCCTTAATCCGCAAGACTTTCTCTATCCCAAGAGCTATGTCTAGCTCCCTAATCTTTGTCTATCTCCTGCTTGTGATTTTGCTACCCTCAAATGGGTCCCTTTGGCCTGAAATGCCACTGCCCATGCCATCTGCAGTGCTTGCTAGACCACTTGGTCCTTCTAGAAGCCTGACAGTCAGGGCTGGCATTTGTCTACCCACCTCTCCCTGGCTGATTCTCACTCTGTGGAGTAGTGAACTTATTCATTTGAAGAGCTAGGAAAGTTACAATTTACCTGTCAGTAAACAGAAGATGGTTTATCAACAGACTTTACCTTAATGACTACAAATGTTTACCTCCTGCTTTGCAGAATGCAAAGAAATTCTTGGAAATGTCATAATATCTTACAAACATTTGCAAAACAGATCCTTGTTCATCCAGAAAAGAAACAATTGTATTCGTTGTCTCTGACACATGGAAAACATTCAGTGAGAAACATACAGAGAGATGTACATGCTTATATGTAAATGGATACGCTAATTAAAAATTGCAGTGGGCACTGTATTAAAAATTTATTTCACAATCTAGCTGTTCAAAACATTGTTATATCAACAAATACAGCAGTTTGACTATTGGAATCGTAAGTGATTTATCTTGAAAAGGTTATACTTGTAGCAGAATGCAAATATCTTTGAAGAAAATTTGTACCAAAATTACTGGCTTTCTGAGAAGGATTTTGATCTCTCTATTTTTATCTGTAGGAAAAACTGAACAAAACATATCTCAGTGTTCATTTTTTGATAGGCGAGATGGCTGCACTGACTGGATTTGCTATGTTTGTCCGAATTACAGCTGTTTATCTTGCAACTTTCTTTAAGATTAATTAAATGCAAATGTAACTCTGTGAATCATGGGAATACCTGCCAGACCTCTTATTAATACCTTCACTTACAAACTCCTGTGCCAGAGAGTCATTAATTTGCTCAAAGAAAAGTGCTAAAGCAGCCCTTTGCCCACACACAATTCTGAGACAGCTGCCCAATTAGCCCGGTAGCATTCTGATCCTCCTTGCAGGCCCTGTGGCCCTTTGAGGACACAAGAAGGCTCCGATGATAACCTGGCAACCTAGGTAGAAACCCAGCCAAGTGTGAGCGTTTGAAGCTGCAGTTTGGCTGCCATCGTGTCGGCGAAAAGAAAGAATTCAGGCACCATGTCATCCAGTACAAAGGATAAAAACGGATTCCACCGGAAATTCAATGTGGCACCGCATATGGGATACATGAGTGCAGTTATACAACAGGCCACATATTTTTTTTTGAACAGTCTCCTACATGTGATGCCGAGGACATGTGTAACCATCATAACCTCTCTAGGAATCTGTATTTAATTTGAGTTGGGGTGGTGGCAGGGACTGGAGATCTGAAGCCGCCACAGGTTTGTGGCAGATGGCTTTGTGTCAGCTATGACAGGCAGCCAGGCACGGCTTCCTCTGCAGATTTTCTCTTCTCTCTGATCAGGTAAATATGGGCACACTCTGGAAAGTTCTTCAGATTCTGCCTTAGGCTGCAAGTTTGTGACTTAGCCCATCTGTCACAAATCTTCCCTAGGTTCTGTTGAAAGCAGAGACCTGAATTTACTATGTAGGGCTGCCCAGGAAAACGGAGCCATTTCACCCTGTAACAAGGGGGAGGGAGAAAAGAGAAAGCAAGAAGAAACGTGATCAACTGAAGCACCAAAGCAGGCTGAAAATTCATATTGCAAATTGGCATCGTGTATGTCAGTTGTGCTTCAAAAGCCACCAAGTACACGGTCGTGAATTCCAACACCTCAAGAAGTCACAGGACCTGACCGGCTTAAAGTATCCCTGTATTTCTAACCGTAGGAGAGAGCTACTGTGTTCTGCAAATGGGTACATACTACTGCACACACATTTCCTGGTTTATCTTAGTAGATGACAGCTATTAGAAGTTTATCATCCAACTTCTAACTTTTATAAACACGAGAAATGCAACATTCTTAATACAGTTTTTGTTGATATATTACTTTTAAGCAGTGAAGACACAAGATAAATGCCCTTACTGTTCCATGAGATTTATAAAGCGCTCCGCATTTACAAATGGGTTGATGTTCATTATTTCATTTCAGCAGTGCTTCCAGGGGTCAGTGCTCTTGTGATTTAAAAAAAAAATTTTCCCTGATTTGCAGATGAATAACACAGGGGCCAAAAAAGCCTCTAGAGCTGGACTGAAAATGGCAGCAGAGAAAGACAAAACCTCTCACTGACCTTACTAGGCCAAAGCACACCTATTGTGCTCAATGTTCTGTTTTGTTTTTATTTTACTCAGTTCAAAGGAAAACTAAACCAAATAAAACTGAGGGAGGAAGTGAGAAAAGAAAAGAGAACAAGGAGAAGGGCAAGGAGGGAAGGGGTAGTAGGAGAGAAGTAAAGAGAGTTTGAGACGAAGAATTTGCCTTAAATTATACTGGTGCAATTGAGAGATTTTTACAAGTTCTTAAAATGTCACAAACAATTAAGTTTTTGTTTTTAAGGAAAAAGTAAGGATTTTAAGGGAGTGTTAATACCAGTGAGGAACACCTTGTTCATGTCTAAAGTATAAGCTCAAATTAAAAGGGGACTCCGAAGTGACCACTCTTGAAAGAAACTTAAAGTGGTTTGGCTGTGGTTCAGATAGATGTAGCCTGACATAATTAAGACAACCACAAATGGCTTTTCTGGGCATGGAGTCTGAGTAGTAAGCTTAATCATTGTTTGGAATTAGTTTTAGGCAGAAATCTGAAAATTCTTCTGTTCTCCAAATAACAGCAGATTATAAAGAGCTCTTGGATGTTGAACTTGATGAAGAAAACAAACTAAAAATCAGTGACTATCACCTGAAAAACGTTTAAAAAAAACCCTACAGGTCACTCTCTGAGAGCAAAAAGAATAATCTCTGTCTCTGTCTCTCTCTGTCAGTATTGCTCAACTTGGAAATAACAGTAAGTGAGAAATAGCACAGGAATGAAAATCTCTCCTGGAGTCCTGGTGATATCGACTTTACACAAATGTTCTACACCTGTTTTATGTTCAATACTGGTAACAAATGACTGTTGTTTATTTCTAAAGCATTTTCAAATAAAATGATTAAATTATGAAGTACCACTCTCAAGCAACTGTTGGAAATTTTCGGTAAGAAAAATCATACAGTAAAAGTGAGGCAAAAAAAATTCTACTTTATGGTACAGAGTTGGTAGAGTAGGAGGGAGAGGAAATGTCAGTGTAAGATGTCAATCTCTGGCAGATTATTTTATGATTTCTTCTAGGAACTTGTGTTTAGGTTAGGCTTAGGGAGTTAAAGAGCTCTCTATTAAGGATGAAGTGAAGGCCGGGAATATAGCTCAGCAGCATAAGTGCTTGCCTGGCAAGCCTCAGGTCATCAGTTCAATTCCCGGTAGAAAAAAAATCACGTTGTAAGGATGAAGTGAAACTTAGTCTTTGTGTGCAAATGCATGTTCCACGCACCTGCTTGACCTCCTGGAGGACATATCCTAACCCTACAAGGAAGTTACAGCCCATGACCAAAGCATGCTTATAAAGTAGTCTTAGGATTTTTTAAATGAAGAAAATGGTTGTCCAGTTTTAAAGATTATTAGGAAATATTTAATTTTGCTATGCATTAGGTTTCTCTCAAAATTCCAAGAAAAACGTGTGTGTGTAACATAGAGACAGAGGCAGGGGCAGGAGAGACAGAGAGAAAAGGAGTGCACACTTACAGTCACGTGAGGGATTTAAATATCTCAGGCCTGAAATAATTTCAGGTAGGAAGCTGAGGACACAGGGTTTGAAGTAGAGTCACTTTAAGAAAAAAAGTAAGTTCTCTGTCTGCTTTTTTTTGCTAGCATTCTGTTTCAAATCCTGCTTCAAGTTATAGCCCCAAAACTCTCACTCTTATTGAAAGTATAATGTCTCATGTGAGAAGTAAGCCAAGTGTTAGTAGCCTTATTCTAGTCATTAAATTTCTAAGTGTGAAACCATACGAAAAAACGCTATCCTAAAGTGAACTCCATATAATAAGAAGTTGAAATGATTCTAAAATGTAAACTTTTAACAACAAAAAAAGAGTAAGGTGTAAAAATGTAAAAGGAACAAATTAAAGAATTCAGTGACATGCTATCCTTTTAGATCTTAGAAGCATATGTTTTAAAAAGCAAAACAGCACTGTCCAATGAATAAATCTTTTAAAAAAAAATCCCAATTCCCTTCACAGAACACACAAAAGATCCTCTTCCACTGCCTAAGAAATGTAGGTAAAAGGTTGCCTTGCAGAAAAGAATTCTCTAGTATAGAGTAAAAGCAAATGGTACCTGAGTAGTGTATATTTACAAAATATTAGGTAAAAATTATTATAGTTTACTATAGCTTTAGAAAGCATTTTTTCCCTGTTTTGGACCTAAGTCCTACTTAAACAAACAAACTAACTCTCTAATCTTTCCTATGATTTTCTTAAACTTAATGAGTTTAACACACCAATTTTTCCTAAGAGTTGCATCATAAAGCTTTTGATTACTTATAATTTTGAACTACTTTCTTTAATTTTTGAGATTAAATTTTACATAGTATATTATTAAGATCTATGAATTAGGACATACATGAAAGTGTATTGCAGATTGATAACAAAAACTCCACGGTAAAAGTGCTTAAAACTGAATTATACAGATAAAATCTTCTAAGTGCTTATAAGTGAATTACTGCTTTAGAAAACTTTATGATGGAGGACTTTGTGATGTGAAAACTAAAAATATATGTAAGTATTGAGATATACTAGCTCACTGAAGTGACATTTAAGGTATGGGCTATTTTTTCAACTGTAGAAGGAATGATTTTATATATTAACAACATACTACTAAGCCCACATGCTTTTAGAATTTTTCCAGAAGCTGTTTGTAAAATAAATAATTACAGCTATGTTATGGCAGTAACTGCATTAAGGTATTTCAACTGGAGATCTGCTTTCTTTTCTAACTAGAGACAACTTGTTGCAGTGACTTTTGAAACCATTAAAATTTGCACATGTGGACTAACAGAGTTAATAAGGCCTAACCTGCAGCAAACTTAAAAACTGATAAATTTCCATGGTGGAAATATATTTGTAAGTACTTTAGCAAAAATTCATCTGAAGGAAAAAATCAATAATTTTACTATGAATGCACTAAAAAATAGGTCTGTATTTTATATATATATATATATATATAAAATGAATCATTTTGTACTAATACTGAATTATTTCCTTAGTTTTCATAATCTGCATATTTGAACAGTCTATCATATGGGAAGCTATTCAATTAATATTTTATACAAATGAAACTGCGACTAAACTAAAAATTAGGGAATACTGGGGGAAACCTTGAAGACCTGTCTTCTCTGTGAAGCTCTGTGTGTGTAGACGATACAATAGTATTGACTCAAGGCCTGATTCTGAAGGCTGGAAGTGTGCAGTCAGCATTTTAAACTATTATGAGCTACCTTCTGAACCATTGCCAAGTTAATAGACAATGAAAGATAATGAGCTTGAAATTGGGTGTTAAATTGCATTTTTGGTCCTCTCCTTTTTTCTTGAAGTTTAACTGTTTCCTGGAGAAACAAAGTCATGTTTTGATAGATCACTATGTAAATATGTATTTTAGGTCATAAAAAAAGAAATGAGAGAAAAAAAGGGCAGAGAACATTATTTCACATAGATTACACATTAGCATAGGAAAATTAAAATATGCTGGATTATAAAGCTGCTAGATTGTAAACTATACTGAATTTATGTAAAACGAAGATGCGACACTCAAAGAATATAAAAAGGTATATTACTTATGGCCTAGAGCCACCTTCGAAGCCCATAAAGCAGATTTAGCCCCTGTGGATTACTCTGACTTTGAGCGGGGCCTCTTTGTGTTGTTACTTCAACAATCTAAAATTCTGGACTCAAATAGGAGAAAAAAAGATAACAAACGAGGGCCTGAGTGATGATGCTATTTATATAGACTATTTGCCTTTTGCCCTTGCCATTCAGAGATCAAACTGACAGTGCTGATCCTAAAAGCTGAGTATTTTTATGTCATGTTCTTAAACTGGACAAGGGAAATATTCAACTTTTGAAAGCGATCTTTAAAGTAGTTGAAAAACGAACACCCAACTTCACTGATGTCATTCACCTGAATTTTTGAGGGCTGAAGATTTCATTATGATGGGAGAAAGGCTTATCCTCATTAGTATAATTGTAGAATCTTTCCTTCCTTTTAAACTAATGAGTTACATTAATCCAAGTTCATTTTTATAAGCCTCTTGGGGCTAAATGTAAAGGACAGTCATCTTAGAAAACAATAAATTTTTAAAAAAAGCATGTATCGTGCATTAAGCGTACGTATTTCATATGACCTAGGTTAATACAACTGGCATCCAGTTTAATTAATCCTTGTTAGTGTAACAACTAATATCCCTCCCTAGCATGTTTCCTTTAAACATTAGTATGTTAATTAAATGTTTTTTTTAAAGATTTTTCTTTGTACTTCAATACAGCATTTATACCACGTAAATCTTTTCTCAATAACTACCTTATAGAGATGTTTTCTTATAATATCTGGTCTTTTGCAGAAATTCTGGAGCTTTTTTGAAAGCTGTTCAGGTGTAGAATACAGATATTCAGCTGCAGGAAAAACAGATACATTTTTAATGAAACAAAAACCTCAAAGCACACACTCGATATTAGTCACTTTACTAATTAAAAATGCATATTGCTCTGTGCCGCCTTGTGTTTTACATTATTTAAGCATGATTTTATAAGGTTACCTCAGCTCACAAGGATGTTTAATGCTAAATAAGACGGTGTAGTTGTTCTGTTTAGACATCTCCTTTGGGTGATTAAAATACATTATTCTAATGTAACACAATGCATATGTGATATATTTAGTGATGAGGATTTTTTCAAAGAACTGGTACTACAGCCGTACATACCCTGTACAACAATCGCATATTGTTAACTACTCAATTGTTTAAATAATTTGGTGTGACTTTCAGCCCTTGATTTTTTCTCTGTGTATATCATTAAAAAAAATCTGTAAGCAATTGCAGCAACACTGACCTGCTTATAAAAACCCACCATTATAGGATGTGTATGCTAACAATGCCATTTGAAAACTTGTTTTTTTGTTATCTTAAAAGAACAGATGGTAAATATAAGCTTACTCTAATGTATTAAAACACATAAAATTTTCCTTAACACTAACATGTTGACTTGCCAAATAAACAATTGCTCCTGCCTAAGTTTATTTTCAAACTTTCTAATTTAGTATGAATCATATATTAAATCACAACAAAGACGAAAGCACATTAAAGCGGCTACCTGGAAATATTTCAGGATAAACCAAATCTTTGGGACAAAGTGGGTAACAACCACAATATACAGCTTCCAACCTAGAGAAATATTAGAGAGGATAAGAATATATTAAAAAGACGTTGTTATCATAACCAGAAAGTGGCTTGCTTGCCTTTGTTTGCCAGAGTTAAATGGGCCAAAAAACATGGTCGGCAATACAATCGTAAAAGCCAAAGTTGCTCTTTTAAAAGATTTTATCGATCATATATGAATTGCATTGAACAGAACGAACAGCATATGTTTTATTCAGTGAATTAATCAAAGCGCAGCGCTGCATTTTTTTTTGTTTTTAAAATACTGTTTAACACATTTTATAATCAGCAGATAAACACATGTAACAACATGGTAAAGTACGGACAGCTTTTCTTAATAATGCTGCAAAGCCTCAGAATGTTCACTTTTCAAAAAATGTTTAAATAAAATGGCAAATACTTAACTTTAGCATTGAAGCCGTAGAAGTGATCGAGGCACTTTTAAAAGCAGCAGAAAAAAATTTACAATCTGTTGTGATGGGGCATTTTCATTTTAAGCTCATGCTTCGAAACAATTTGTTATTATGCAGAATAGAACTCTTGAAAAAACCTCAGGAAGATTACTTTAATGTATACTTTTCTTTTCTGACTAAAAGCTCAGCCCTCATTTCACTGGATCAGAAATGAATACTTCTGTTATTAAACACATAGGGAAGTTTCACTTTGTGAGAGGGTTTCCCCGTGGACACCTAGGGGAAGTTTTTCTGTGTGTCACAGCGAAAAGGGTTAAGGCAGAAGGAAAGTTCTGCCAGATTTCCAATGCCTGTGTTAGGGCTGCATAACAGCTATTGATCTGACATATAATAAACTTTAAAGATACCACTGTCATTTCTGTTGGCTAGAAATTATGCAGTGAAATTCAAAACACTCTTTAAAATATGTTTATTTTATGAGAAACTTTGAATTGCATCCAAAATGTTGACCAAAGGCTGAATTTATTTTGAACTGCAGATTTTTTTCAGCCCAAGAATAATTTGAAGTCATGTCAATGTTTACCTTGTTTATTTACAGTGACAAAGTACATGCAATTTAAGCTGTTTTTAAGTGGGTGATGTTTTCCCTATTTTATTATGCTAAACTGAAATTAAAGGAAAAGTATTTACTTTGAGCTGCGGATTCTGGAAAAATACTGAGTTCAAAGTTTTCCTTGAGAGCTGATAGAAGTTATAAGATAACACATAAGAAGGCATAGATTCTATTACCAGCTATTTGCTTCAGAATACAAGATGTATCTAATATTTTCCCCCTGCATACATGGAGTAACATTAAAATTCTTATTGTAAGCATGGCTATGAACTACATTCTACTGTAGTATAAAATATTAAAGTTTTGAGCATATAACCCTGTGATACACTTCATGAACCAAAAGAAAATATGCACTTTATCCGAGGACATTCAGCTTTAAAATGCTGTGCCAACCGAAAAGCAAATACATATGAACATTCACTTATAATTACATAAAATCAAAGGAGTGAAGTCACAGGCATTTTAGAAAGTGCACATGTTATCTGCTTTTTAATAATGGATTTGAAATAGAGTGTTTTGTTCCCCGAAAGAATATCACAGGCCAAGTTGCACTTTGAGTCACTGTATGAGTATGCACCATGCCATTTCCAAATAGATCTCTGCAGTAAAATACTATGCAGTAAGATAAGAACAGCATCATTTGATTTAGTAAGGAAAAAATTATAAATTTTGGACATCAACTTTTATTTGTAAATTGTCATATTTATAGTTCCTGTTCTAATTCATCAAGAAACAACCATCATGTCTGCTGGCTATAATTTACAAAATTTTATTACACTTATTATTTAGCAGGATTAGTTTTGCAAATACATGAAATAAGCTCTGATACTTTCAAACAAATTTAAACACTCACCGGCGTAAGTTTCACACATTCAGTTATTTTGAAAAAAGTTCATCTC